GCAAATGCAACAGTGAACACCAAAGAGGTACAAATTGCCTCTTTAGAAAGAATCACGAATATTATTCTGTTCTTATTAATCTCATGGATTACAGAGAAGATTTCCTTTTTGAGCTAAATAGTTTTTAATCAATTGTTTGTTACACAATTTTTTTCCATTGTTTGTTTGGACAGAGAAGATTATTCTCCTTCTTCTTCCAGTTCGCTTGATGTAATAACCATATTTTTATCAATAAAAACTCAGATTTTAAATTTGAAGAAAAGAAACCAGCGATCATCAAACTATTTTAAGCGTTTTCTTTATGTTTTTGTTCTAGTAATTTTTACATTTGGGTTCAGCAGAATAGATTGGTGAGAGTCTGTTTTCTTTTTCGGTTAGTTTGTACGGTAAGTTCACAATTCATGATTTTACCTTCCAAATTTTTATTCTTTCTTTTCTAGAAATGCATCATTTATCCGGGTGATTGAAGATGCCAAATACTCCTTCCGGTCCTTAATATAAGGTATTTTGATTTTGTCCTAGTGCACATTTTTAATTGGTGAAAAAATCTTACAAATATATTTTCACATTTTTTGTATTCTTTTGATTATTATGAAATATTTTTAAGGTTTTTTTGTCGATTAAAATTACGTACTAGGTTACATTTAGGCCAAATTAAAATGCCTTATATTAAGGACCGGAGGGAGTATAATGTTATGACTGTGTTAAGAACCAGTGGAGTAAAAGCCTTGGATGTAAAAAGGTTGAAGAAAGTTCTTCGAATTTAATATAATGTCTCTGTTCATAAAAGAAAAAAGATAATTGTCTAATGATGTAGTCTTCTGCCAACTACACAACAACATGAATCTTCTTCAAAAGAATTTCAGTTTTGTTTTATGGAAAAATTTTTCTTCCCGGGTTTTTTTTTTTTTTTTTTGAAATTTGATGTACTAATATCGCTTTTTTGATCATTTTTCGGACAGATTTTTGATGGTTTTTGGGAACTGTGGATTTGAATTTGATGTTGGGCTACATCCAAATCTAGCCAAGAAAGATAATTAGAAGACGGTGCTGAATCAAAAGTGCTTACAACAAGCTTGCACCTTACTGCTATTTTTTCTCTTCTTTTTTCTTTGGATAAGGAAAGGGTTATAAATATTGTAATGAAACAAGTATTAATTTTATTGTATAGGTTGTCTTTTTCATTTGACCAATTTGAAATACAGGCAACCGACAATTTTTATATTATTAGTATACATAAACGTCTTTTTGGAAGATTAAATATATATATATATATATATATATATTCAATGAATTACAAAGTTAAAAAGCCAAGGACCACCCGGGCCAAACATCTAGTAGATAATTAATGACACAATGGAGTTAGAGTATCGTCAGGAAACGATAAAAATATCGCATAAGTTTTAGGTTAAAAATTACAAGGTTACCAATTTATGATTTTTCTTTCTTTTACATTTCAATGAAAGAAGATCCTGGTGCTGACACTAGTCAAAATTAGTTCGATCAATGTATATGTTCCTTGAAAGTCAAAAGTGAAGATTCTCACAATTCTTAAATAAATGTGACTAACAAGATACACTCAACAATTACGAATTGAATAATATCAACAATTTTATTTTATACAAACAACTAAAGTTTCTCAGAATTTAAATAAATGTTTAAACACAATTGTCCCACAATTTTTTTGTTATACTCATAACGCTAAAAAAGTTTCACATGGTTGCATCCAAAATTTAAAAACCGAGACAGATTAAGTGTATATAGACTTGAGGTAAGGTGCAATTTGTGACGATAAGATAGAAAAACAAAGATTCAAATTTCACATACACAAAGCTCATACCCCTAAGACTTAAAAATATTGTTTCTTCATCATAAAACATAGATTTTGTTCATTTCTGTACTTGAGGAGGGAAAAAACCTCATCTATGGAGAGTTCATTAACATAGCAAGCTTATCGTGTTTTTTTTTTCACATATCGTATACTTTGTAAAGGCACAAGTCTCAAAATGGTAGTTAACATTTTTATATAGGACGTTTCGGTTTGTTTTTCACCTAACGTTAATGGGTTACACATTTTTTATATGCCCCTGATTAATATTAGCAATATACTATATTAATCAGATCCACCATGCATATGTGATCTTTGCTTCAATGGCTTTAAAATTATTAGTGTATCACCTGATAGAGAATATACTTCAATAATCTATCATCTACTTTCTCGATTCGGAAGACGATTGAAGTTTCAAATAATTATACATCCAAAAGTGAGGTTAGTCAAACTTAAACATATACTAGTGGTGGGCCTATGCATGGCACGGCTCGTGAATTTTTTTTGGTATAATTATATTATGAAGTAGGTTGTCGGAGAACAAGTAGTTAATCATGTTAAAACGGAACGTTCAAATCTATTTTTGTTATTATAGATTGAATGTTCAAATTTTAGTCAACTCATTCTAAAGTAAAGAGTTAATAAATACCAATGGTACATAAAATAAAAATCCTGAAAATATAATCTAGATTTTATTTGTGTGTAAAAGTTTTTAAACCAAGATATTATCCTATCCGATTCATCAAGATTACAAAGCATTAAAAGAAATATGTCCTGTTTCATCCATAATAGTAAACGAAATATATTCCCCCCCCCACATAATCTCACAAAATTTTTCCACCATACCTCCAAAAAAGTAGGGCCAAATCCTAGATGACATATTGGGAAAGTTAATCAATCCTAGAAATTAGGGGACACGTTTTCAAAAAAATCAAATCATGTCCATAACAAAAATCCTTTTGGATAAAAATTCCAAAATTGTTGAATTACTTAAAGCCTCTATTCAATTTGGCAATTTCCACATTAACTAATGGTTTTTCTGTCATAAACTGGTAAACTATTGTAAAAGTTATGTCGAAATATTTACTACATCTAATTGATCTTGATTTTGTGGATTTTTTTTCAACAAGCCATTTCACTACATATTTCCAAAAAAAATGATCTCTTTAGATAAATAAAATATTTAAGGTTAATTCATAGCAACCCCATGTGGTATTCAAATCTACGAGAAAAAAGAAAACCTCCTCATGTTTAATAATTATCTGTAAGACCCCTCTGTTTTTATGGAATCTGTAAATTAACGGCACATGCAAAACTAATAGCTCAGTTATAATTTCCTATTGTACCACTCTTTTTATTTTGATTTTTTTTTTTCAATTCACCTCCCCTTTTTGCACAACCCTCGTCCTCCTGAAACTCTTCCAATTCCCAAATCATCACTAGAAACTTGCATTCTCCCACCAGCCAGAAAGATGACGAACGAGGAATAAAGTATGTTGACAACGCTAACAACAAAGGAAGAACAAGTATGATTTGCTCTTAGTTCATCAAGAACAACATTTATTCATTCTCATTCATCTATTTGTAAGGCTTGTATTCACTTTTTGAGTTTTAAATTGATTTTTTTTTTTTTTTTGACTTGAAGAGGGATGACGAATAAATTTGAGTATTGGAAATGTACAAACAAAAATAAAGCAAAAAAAAGTATATTAAATTAAAATTTGGCAATTTAACATGGAAATGTGAATGATAATAGATCGCCTGTAAGTTGTGAGGCAAGGTGCAGTTAATTGGGTAAGGATTGAAATCAATGTAAGCCAATAACTCTTTCATACAATTTAATGATTTTTAGCAATTTATACTTGAATATTTATAATCTCGTCAAAAGGTAATTAATGAGGAATGTAGGAGTTTGCAAACAATCAAATCTATATTATTTACTTAAAGCAACAAACACTAAAGACACATGTCAGTACCAGAATGAAAATTTTTTCTCCAAACGTTACAGATGTTTACAATACAAATCCGAAGCAAGGAAACTGAGACACGTGGCTTCATCATTATACAAATCAAATCATGATATTTCACTTATATCGTGAATGATTTGTTGAATTAAAAATATGAATGCAGCCATTGCATTGAAGTCATTTTTTAGAGAGGGTGGGAAAAATGTCTCTGTACATGTTCTTCGACGACAAATTAATCATGACTCCCAACTCCAAAATTGTGTTATGAAAAGGCCCAAGAAAATGAGCACCAACTTTAATGGATCAAACAAGAGTGTGGCTAAAGATGCCTAAACTCTAAATATTACATAAAATTAACATTAGACACTACAAGAATGTAACCTCTCATTAGTAATTTCTATCTACAGAATCATTCATATGCATCCAAATTAGTTTATTAAGTTAATATAATGATGTATTAGTTGAGTTATCAACTTTAATCCTCACCAAAGAAACTGGATTATAATTGTTTTGGGTAGCCCGTTGCAGACACATTAACAACTGTGGAAAAAAACGTTTGGGAGTTCTTAGGGAAAAGTAATAAGGAGTCATGATATTTCACTTATATCGTGAATGATTTGTTGAATTAAAAATATGAATGCAGCCATTGCATTGAAGTCATTTTTTAAAGAGGGCGGGAAAAATGTCTCTATACATGTTCTTCGACGACAAATTAATCATGACTCCTAACTCCAAAATTGAGTTCTGAAAAGGCCCAAGAAAATGAGCATGATTCAAGAAAGTGGAATAATTTGTGAGGATGATTCAAGAAAGTGGAATGAAATAAGACGGATTCACTTGAATTAAAGATATTGATTTCGAAGAGATGAAATATTCATTTAGAAATTAATCATACATTTATGGTAATAAAATATATCCAAAATAAGTTCAAAACTAATCCATAAATTCATACTTATATTAAAAACATAATAACTGTCTATTACATAATGAGTCTTGATTTTTTCCCTTCCTAGCACAAAAAAGTAGGTAAACCTTATGCGCCTGCATATAGAAGATTATTAATTAGTTGAATTACCATATCTTAGAAAAAGTGGTTACTAAAACAACCAACAATAACATGAGTTACAGAATAACACAAAAACAAACTATGAACAAAGTGAAGTAGTAAATACTTTTTACCTTTATGTCTAAATTCACCATCAAACTCACGCACTGTCCAAAGCTTCTTTTTCCTTTTCATCATCGTCAATTCCTTGTAGCAATTCCATGTTTTCATTCTTAGCATTCAAAAGAACCAAACTCCCAATCATCGGCAAAAAGTCCACATTTTCTGGTACCTCAATCTGATCATCACCAAATGCTCTACTCTCATTGTTACAAAAATTATGCAAATATAATTCTGATTTTCCATCGTCAACATTTGTGCGGATGATGGCGATTTCATTGTTAGCAGTAATCAATGATGGAAAATGGACAAACCCGTCCAACATAACATCAAACTCTTTTGTCCAAGATGCTTCATTCCCGTATTCCTCCATTACAAACAACAAACAATGTTGTAGGTTGCCAAGACTAGGGTTATGCGCGAATAGAAGTGAAAGATTACCTTTGTAAACAGTAACCTCGACCATCTTGGACTCTTCAAAATTGTAATGAGCAGGCAACTTTATTTCTCTAAACACTTCATTTAGAAGATCGAATGAAAGAATCACTGGCTCACTATTATTGCTATTGCCATCCACGTGAGATGCCATCCAGTGGACACAGTTGTTGACAAAAGCCCTTGAGATAGAGTCACACAAATACCATGGAAAAATGGATGATTCAATCTTTTCCCATGTATTACTTCTGAGTGAAAATATCTCAATGAATGGAACAATGTTTTCTTTATTAGCAATTTTTTTTTGGGCAGCTGCACTGCTAAGAAAACCATTCTCCTCTTCCTCCACATAAAGGATTCGGACAATCTTATGATCATCCCTTTGAGATACATAACCAAACCCAAGAGCCAAATGCCTAGAATCATTGAATGTGAATTTCTCTAAACCAATAGTTGATGTTGTAAGACTCAAGGATCTTCTAATAAATGGGTTCCATAAATGGATTATGGCCCCACAACTATCAGTATCGATTATAAACACTAAACCCCCAGAAGCAGAAACTATCTGGTAGCTGTTACTATCAATGACATTTGGGATTCTCTTAATGGTTGAAAAATTAATAGGGTTTTCATAAGAAAGTAGATAGAAAGGTTTTTGAGGTTCATCGTACACAAAATTAGGATCAAATAACATGAACTTATTACCTTCTTTCAGTGCTGCTAAAAGATGGCGCTTGATAAATTCGCTTGAAGATATCAAAGAAAAAAATTTCTTAGATACACACATCATGCACATCAAAGCATCAATGGGCAAGACCATCAATATTGCCACAATGATCTCAAGCGGAAGATCTTGTAACAAGCTAAACTCCATTGTTGCACTATTGAAGTATAACTTCCTTCTTCTTCTTCTTCTTCTTCTTTTTCTTTTTAACTCTCTTTTGTATTTGAAGACTGAAATGAATGATTACAATTTGTGGTGGGTTATGGAGATGTATTTATACATAAAAAAATCATTTATTACAATTTACAAATGGCATAGTCAACATTTAATGTTATCTGATGCATGCATAAGTTTGAAAATGGATTGTCTATTTTGGTGAAATCTAGCTTGTTTTATGGAGTGGTCGGATTTTTTACCATCTTTTTGATTACTGGTTCATTGAATTTAAATTAATGTATTGCCGAAATAAAAAAAATTTAATTTATTCAATTTCTTTCTTTCTTTTTAGATTTTAGTGTAGCCTAATCTATCATCTCAAACTTAATAATTAATCATGGCAATTTCTTTAATACATATGTACTAAAATATTCTCATTCTTAAATTTGGAATTTTCAGTAATTTTTCTTTTCTTTTACCATAGTAATTCATCAAATAGGGATTATCATAATCAAATTTATTTAATGTGATTGAGTAGCAAGCATTAAAGGAATTTTTGTCTACTATAAAGACTTCTATTGATGAACAACAACAATCAGTTCGTGGAAGATAATTTAGTTTCAATTGAGTTTTGCAATAAATGTCATTTGGTGCAAATGTTAGTCTACAGTTAAAAGTCAAGATTCGCAAATAAATGTAACTAACAAAATACAGTTCAACATATACGAATTGTATACTGCTAATAATTCTTTTTCTTTTTTGCCATAATTCTTGTTTATCACATGGTCAAACACAATTTTACATCAATTTTGTACGTTATATTTCTAATGTTAAAAAGGATCAGAATTGTTGCATCCGAAAATGTCAAATTTAATCGAAACATACAAGGTAAGGTGCAATTGTGACGGTACGTGTATATGTGAAAAATAATTATTCAATTTTCAAGTACACGTTCGATAGAGTTAACTATTGATACGTAATTATAGAACATAGACTTTGCCATTTTTACGCTTTGCAACAAACACTCGTGTATGGGCAATTGAGAAACATAAAAGCTTAACTACAAATTGAAATGATTCAGGTTCTAATGTTGGGACTATATGAATAGCCCCTTGATCTATGATGGAAGTTGGATTTGATAATCACTCGTAAGAAACTTTTTCAGAAGAGTCTTGTAGAGATGGGAAATGTATTCTGAGATACTAAATTTAAATTGCTACAGGTATAGTACAGAACTCCACTAAGTTTAGGATTGAATATTTTGGAACGAGGAAGGAATGACTCCACTTAGTTTATTATCTGGTATAAGCCTATGCTAGAATCATATTTGAATCTAGAGATACGATCAAAGTCTCCATGGATCCTGTGAAAATCTAAGGATAATTGATAAATTCTTTATGTCATAACTTCAGTATAGATGTTTCTAAATGTTATAAACTGATAATCATTAGACATTTTGAAGAAATATATTGTACCGTAATTGAGGTTATCATCCTGAAGTCAGGTCGGACTATATGTCGGGCTAAAATGGGTATAACAATGAGAGGATATAAGTTTAAGTAACGAGTTTTATTGAGTAGTCGTGCTTAATATAGAAGTATTGATATATTACGTTTCCAACACTTTGGGTACCTTAACGTATAAGATATTGTAAGCTTCATTGAGTTTTAGTTTGTAACCCGATTCCCTAATCACATCATGTAGAGAAATAGGTACCTTGAAAATTTTAGTTATGAGAGTGATTTCTCGTCTTAAATATGTATGCTTAGGCATGTTGTAGTAATCCAAAGTTAAGCAAGATGCTTAGGTGCCCCAAATTTGAGGCAATGGAACCGAGAAACATGGTATTTTTGATGGTCAAGAAAGTTGAAATTGTGAATAACGTTGAATGTACATAGTTTGGAGTTTTAGGAAAGTTTAGTTAATGATCCATAGGACTTCTCATCTCATGAGATATGAGCATGTAACTGATTTGCAAAAGAGTAAAACATTTCTATCGATTTGATCACATTATATTAAAACATATGTGTGCTATTGGGAGATAGGATAGCTAAGATGTTCCAAAGAAATTAAATGGAATTTATACTGGTGATCATATGAACATGAGGTGTAATGTGAGGCTAATATTTTCCCCGAAATTGTGGAATACAAGAAGGGACATTGAGAGAGACACTAAAAGGGAATGAACCACTTCTTAGAAAATATGAGGAAAGCCCCCAAAAAAAAAATAATAATAATAAATTGAAACTTTTCCTATGTAGAACTTATGACTCAAAAGCACGACCATTGTAATAGTGAATGAGTTGAAGGTTAAATCAATAGAGGATAACATATCATATGAATAGAGCCAACCAAACCAATGAGAGAGATAAGTCCATCCCTGTGAAGAAGAAATTTAGACTGTAAGCGAATGATTGTTGACAGCTAATGTCAAACAAAAGATAGAAACTGTGTGAGTTTCATGGGTACCCATATAAGGAATTAAGACCTATCATTATTGGTGATGCAGTCCATTCCGATGTTCAAGCCCTATTAGTAATTAGAAAGAATCTTATATTGACGTAAGAAAAAACACAACCTTACTGGGAGACTGTAAGTATGACTTTAATGTTAAACTACCGACTAGTGTACCTTAATAGAAAGCAAGGGTGTAATATTAGAACTTCATAAGTGATACGCAGACATGAAAGAAGAAAAAAAAAAGAGAAAAGCACCCACAGAAGATTATAAAACTAAGTAGAGATAAGGATATCCCCTACCCATTTAAAGAGATAGTAGCACAAGTAAGTTTCGAGGACGAAACTTCTTTTAAAGGAGGTAGGATGTAGCACCCAGAAATTTTCCAAAAAGTATTCGAATGAATAATTTAAAACCAAAAGTAAATGAAATAGGTTTGGATTATTTAGTGAGTTTGGTTCATCATTATTACACTAGACACAACATGCATAGAACAATTAGTAAACCAAAGTACGAGTTAAGAAAGATTACTGATGAGACTTTACATCCATATAAAATCTTATTATAGTAATTAATAACAAACTAAATCTACACAATAGCCACAAGTTAGATTTCTTGGGGACAAAGTATCAAGGTAACATGGCCAATATGTTGCTACTTTATGCTCAAGTAACAAGAGTTAGGTGACGGTGTAGGAAAAGGAGGGGAAAACTAAACAAATACATAAAAATCTTCAAGGAAAATAAAAGAAAGGAAACAATGAAACACTTGGGCACCAAGTTTGAGCATCAAACGTAACTATGGTTGCAAATTTTACTTGGGATTTTGTCACCCAAATGTTCAAGTTTGCTAAGTATTAAAATAAAATAAAAATAAAAATTTTATTTCCAAAACTTCAAGGCAAAGTAAAACTTAGTGTTAGTTCTATTTAAGTGCTCAAACCTTCAACTTCATCAAACATTCTTCCCTTCATCTACATCAACAGAAAACCCAGTCCAAACATCATCAAACTAGCCTCAATTATTTTCAAATGCATGCCAAATTTAAAATATAGAAGTTTAAGTAATACGTAAATCGTATTCAAGAGAGAAGTACATGAGCAACCTTGGAGAATAAAGAAGGAGGCGACGAAATACCATTTCTCCAGCAGTATCTCATGGTGCTAAAATCTTGATAACGCTCAAATTGTTACATAAAAGCATTGCAATTTTGCTCTTTAATTAGTTAGAAATTAGGGGTGTTTCTTAGACTTTGTTCATTTTACTTAGCTAGTTTTGTGTTTCTAAATAGGTGAGGACCTGAATGAACAAATGCTGAAAATGGGGGCTTATAAAAAATAATTGGGCTGCTGATTCCAATTTAAAATGAGGGCTGAGTTGGTCAAAAACCAACTCCAAGACAAAAGACACATTGGGAGTTAATAAGGGTGTCCCACAATAGAAACTAAAGAGCATGCTTGTCCCCTTGAATGAAGAACCCACCACCCACATTGATCAATGCTGTTGCTGATACCACTGCTGGAAGAAGAGGAAAAGGCCAATCAAAATCGGATTCAAGACACAATGCATTGGGGTTAATAAAAAATACACAAACATGGTGAGACTCTCTTGGAAGAAGAACCGGCAACAAGCTCTATAAAGGGGGCTGCATTCCCAGGAGAAAAAGAGACATCAGAGGACATATAGCACAGAAAACACAACAGAGAGAGAAGAAGAGACCGGAGAGGAGAGAAAACTCCAAAGGAAGAAGAAGTGCAGTAGCAGCAAAAGAGGAATAACAGACCTCACTCGCCTGAGTGACCTTTGTCACTCAGGCGAGTGACCTTTGTCACTCAGGCGAGTGACCTGTTGCTCAGCCATCCAGATTTGCTTATTCTCAATGCTTTCCTTCTTTTTTTGTATTTTCTGTAGTTTGTATGTGTAGTTAATTATATTTCATTCTCAGGAAACTATGTAGTTTAAGTTTGTGAATGCATTCAAATGATTTTATGCTTTGAAGTTAAAGTTTTCATCTTTCTCTTGATTAAATTGGCCATTTGATTGATTGTGCAAAGAACTAAGTTAATCCCGGAAGGATAAACAAGGTTCAGAATCATTTAGCTTCAACTTATGACTTGGAGGTAACAGTCCAAGGTTCTAATTGAGATATGAATATACTTGGTTAGCATAAGCATTCATATAAGGCTTGAAAACTTAATGACTTCATGACTTGATTAATCATTGGAAAATAGTTCAATTGAGTTCATAAAGATACCTCTAGGAAAAATCGGAAGTGACTTAGAGATATATAAGTGCCTGAATGAGAATGAATTCATACAAAAAGAGTGCAACATTGCAGCTTGATTACATAGGGAAAAGAGAATGAATATCCAGTTTACAGATCAGTCCCTTAAGTCGGAATTCTCACTCCCGTGAGGAGGTTTCAGTTGTTCCTGTTCATTTTCAGTTCTGCGGAGTCAGTTGCCTGAGTGACTTTGTCACTCGTGCAAGTGAGTGACACTCTGCAACTTTCTTTCTTGTTTGCCCAATTTCGTGTTC